GTAATAGGCAAACTCCTCTCATAAGAAGTAAGAGGCATTTTACTGGTATGTTTTTATGTATGTATTTACTGCAGATATTTTCTTATTTATGTGTTTAGTGTCAACTCATAAAATATTTCTATGGTCTTTTTAGAGTTGTCAACAGAAAGGGAGGGGGAAAAGGGGTTTGAAAGAGCAGTGTGGCAGCTTGGAAATCGAAAGTGCATTCCATAAATAGTTTTTCAAAGATAGTAACTAGGTGACTGAAGTTTCTGCCACGCAAATATCTAACTGGAGAACATGATTAATGACTCTTGGCTATGGATGTATCTCATTGGAGAATGACAATGATTATGTGTCTCAGAGTCAGCTACACCCAGGCAGTGCCGGATATTTTAACTCCCAATAAATCCTTTTGAAGTTTTGGAAGTTTAGCTCGAGACTCATGATTTAATTGGGGTAACTGCCGGAAAACTGATATTTAGTCTTTTGTGATGGTAGCTATGAATACATGCCTTATTCATATATCCATATAAGAGAATTTCTTTTTGTCTAGTATTTAGATTTTACTTACTTTATTTATTAGACTTTTATGCCATCCATGTCACTGATATAATGACTTAATTAAACCAAACTGATTTTAGAAATGTTGATGATTTTTAATAAGTTGCCCCTATTCTCAAATGGATTTATTCTGTGATCTTAGGCAAGTTTTTACTCACTGAACTTTATTCTTTACTTAAAAGATTGAATAACTGACTACAGTTTTTATAAAGACTTAAAAATATCTAACAAATCAAGACACAGTATAGACTTAATAATGTATAGAACTTAAAGTTGTAATTTTATTTTATGTCACCTTTAAAGTAACACTGCGTTCACATCCACCTGGAATACTTTGAACTGGATGGATGCCCAAGCATGGAAAAATAAATCCTGGATACCTAGACATAAGTATTTGTTAAGGCATGGCATGTCAGGTGCACATTACACTGAATCACTAAAATTAATGTCAAATAAATCAATACTTATTTCAGATAAAATAACTAAAATAAAATAAATTATTCTGTTCCTAATTCTTACAATTTCAATGCATTCCTTGTCTGAGTACCATCCGAAAACAACTGCAACTCTACTTGTTTTGTGCAAAAGAATATCAATCTAGGCAGGAGTGTACTGATAAATGTTTAGGAATTGACTCCACTAGCTCCATTGTTGTTGCTGTGCCTCACTGCTAGCTGAAAAACAGACGATCGGCACATTAGGCATAGTGGCTCAACTCTACTTTCAAACAACAATACACAAAATTCCAGAAAATTTAACAGGTAGCTCTTGCAAGCCAATTCCAGCACACCACTGAGTTAAAGTATCTCAAGTTTCATACAGTATATATTGAATAATGGATGAAGGAAAAAGTATGATGCCAGATTAACCAACCAGAAGACCCTACTAAGCTGTAAAATACAAATGGATGCTGACTCAGATACTGAGATAGCTGGAAAGCACAAGCATTTGATAATGTCTAGAAAAAGATAACCTGTTAACATGTACAGGCTTAGATCCTTTCATAAAACTCAAAAAAAAACCACCATATTAATTCTCATTGTCCCACTTTCTGATCTCATTAACAGATATTGCCATATCCCAATCAAGTATTAATTAAATGTATATTGCAATTTACATAAATCTATAAAAAGAGGTTGCACTCCCTCCACTTATAGGCTTGTCTTTCACCTTCTGGACCATAATAAAACAATTTATCCCTCAATGGAACTGAGTGCTAGTCCCCAGTGTTAAATGAATTCTTGGGAAGTTCTCCTGCACATTATATCAAATTACATCCAGTTGTTAAAATTTAATTGTAAAATACTGTGGGTAAATGTAATATTCCAGAAGAAATACTCCAAACATTCAATATATATTTAACTTTTTTTCTGAACACAGATATTTATTGAAAAATAGCATAGCTCAATTTAATTTTGAAACTAAAAAAAGCACGACAAAAATGGAAATGAAGATCTTCATTCCAAAAGCCCATTAAATGGATATAACTAACTGGTTAATTCTTTAAATCCTAAACGGTAACTATTTTCATCCCATTCAGTACAGACTAGAAATATTAGTACCTTTCTGAAAGCTGAATAATTTTTGTGAAATCTCCAGAATGTTCAGCAACTACTACCAGGGCCAAAACACCAGACTGAAACAGGAAATAAATTAGAATTAAAAGCAGTAAATCACAAAACTCTTCCAAAGTAAATCTATCCAAAGATATTATTCCCACATTTAAATATTAAATTATGGTACAATGACTTGAGTCTAAAGTAACCTGCGTACAGAAAGTTTACAAAAGGAAAGTTCTGCATTTCACATTATTTCTATGGCAATTCTGTCTCAAAACCTGCAGGTTCATTCTGCTAAAAAGAAATTAATTAAGGAAAGGAGATGGAGAAACATTCCTTAAACCATAGAAGTTGGGATCCAGATCCAATTTTGATCATTTTCCTCATGCTTCAATAGTTTCAACCTATGCACTCCATCTTTCAAAAAAGGCCTTCTGACACTTGGGAGTTCTCAGGATAGAATCATAGAAGTACAGGGCTGGAAGGAACCCTGGAGGTCTTCTAGTCCAACCCCCTACCCAAGGCAGGAAACTATTGCATCCTGGACAATATCATTTGGGATATATAAAGTATAACTTTACAACTTTTAAGAAAGTATCCTGAGGCAATTTGTCTCAGTATCTATGTATCTTACAATTTTAACAAACAAAAGCACTCTTACGTCAGGCTTCATTTTTACATTGAATATATTAGCACTCAGATTTGTGCCCCATCTGAGTTACTTTGCAAATCAGCCCAACTTTTTTCAGATATGAATTCTGTATGCACCAGAGGGAGCAAACCACATATGAATAAACATATATGAATCAATCAAATACATTTCTATGGCACATTGAACATCTTTTAATGACTGCATGAGAGGAATTCAGTCTTCTTTCACAGGCTCATTGCACTGAACTACACTGAACTACAGAAGTCTTAATTATAATAAGTTATTAAAATAATTCACAAATTGGGTTATGTACCATAGGCTGAGCCATAAACTAAGGCTTATTCTATTATGCATACCTATGTTTACCAAAGGGTGGAGTTCTGCTGGGTTCATACAATTTTTTTTAATTATCCCTTTTTTTCATATATATCTCAAGGCAGCATACATGCAAGGTTCCATGCAGAAAATCCAACCAAGCCCAGGAGGAGGGGGGGGGGGATTTTGCAACCCTAAGGTCTATACTTGCACTCAATTTGTTTTTCTTTTTGTGTTGTACAGGTCACCTTCAAGAAGTGAGGGGAGCCAAATATCAATTCATAAAACATGTCTATGCTTGTTTTAGAGTTGCCATGAACAGAAACGGGGAAGGGATTTGAAAGAGTAATGCAGCAGTTTAGAACTGAAAGTGCATTCCATTCTTTATATTGCAAAGACTATAACTAAGCTACCAAAATTTCTGCCAGGCAAATCTCTAATTGGAGGACCTGATTCATGACTCTTGGCTATGAACGTGTTTCGTTAAAGAATATGAATTATGATACACCCAGAGGAATGGGGGGAAATCAGGGTCAAGGGTGACAGTGAATTACGTGTCTCAGAATCGGCTTCATACAGATCATGCTGACATGTCCGCTCCTAATAAATTATTTGAACTTTTTGAAGCTTGGTTTGAGGCTTATGATTTAATTAGGGCAACTGCCAGAATCCTAACAGCAATGCTCCTTCCTCCTCCTATTTTTCCCACAACAACCCTTGGTGGTAAATTGGGCCAAGGGACAGTGACTGGCCCAAGGTCACCTGGCTGGTTAAAATGAATTGTATGTCATGGCTCTCGAAACCCAATCAGCATTTTGAACTTCAACCTAATTGAGTATATGTAACATTCAACGCTCAAATCTGCTTAAGTTTCAAAACCCAAATGCAGATATAATTCTTTCTAGAGTTTGATAAAGGGAAAATAACAATTGAAAAATATTACAAACCTTTTTGGCATCTTCCAATACACTTTCAATGTCCTGAAAAAGGTTAAAATGTTATTATGCTGGCAGATCAGTGTGTTTAAGCATAGCATATTTGCCATGGCCAGGATTCAGCATGCTTTTCTTTCCATCTATAAAGAGTAACACAGCCTAATATTTCTTCTTTTTAAAAAGTAAAGTCAATGGGGAATCCAGATTCACTTAACCATGTTACTATTTAACAAATGCAATGATTCACTTAACTGTGCCAAGAAAAGTAGTAAAATTGTGCAAACTCACTTAACAAATGTTTCATTTAGCAACATAAATTTTGGGCTCAATTGCGGTCATAATTCGAGAACTACCTGTAAACTCCTTTATTTGGTATTGGAATGTAGATTGCCCACTTCCAATCTGTTGACTACTGTGTCTTTATCCAGATATGCTGGAATAGTTTGGCTAAAACTTTTATAGATTCTTCTTCTGTTGCTTTCTGTATTCACTGTATCCATTTAGAAGTGATTCCGATTTCTGCAGCCTTATCAGTTCTAAATTGGAGCCAGGAAGATATGCCTCCATACTATAATCAAGAGGATCCACAAATGCTTGCAATCTTTGGGGAAATTATTGGTGTATTCTCGCCCTGACAGGACCATATATATATATTTTCAGATTTACTTAACAATCATTTTCGTTTTGAACTGTAAGCAGCCCAGAGTCAGTGACTAAGATGCGCGGGTATAGAAATAGAATAAATAAATGTCAGACGGCAAATTCGGGCAGACATTGCCATATCAAACAGTAACCTAAATCCTTCCTAACCCTTAAAATAGCAATATTTTCAGATGAAGAAAGCTCGCAATTCCTTTGCAAAGGTTTAGAGTGACTTAATAAGAGCTTTCAGTAAGGATTTTGGTTTGGTTTGGTTTTTTCCTTTCGTCCAAAATCACTTACCCTTTGAAATTCGGGTGCCGCGAGATGGCAGTGACAATCCACCGCTCCCATCCTGGCACTCAGAACTACAGCTGTCCCAGTTGCTGTTTCTACCCGGACCTATTTCTGGATTCCACCGTCGGGGATGGCAAGGCGTGAAATGAGGATCTTTTGTTTCTACTTCCGGGTTGGGCGGGAAAGTCCGAACGGCTTTGAAAGAGAGCGGGAAACAGCAACCGAGATGGAGGCGCCGCCGCCGACTGCGGCTGCGGCAGTTTGTCCTCCGGCGCCGCGTCAGGAGCCCCGAGTGCAGTGCCTGTCGCGCCGTTGGACGGCCGAGTTGCTGGATCACTTCAGACCTTTCGTGCGCAGACTCGGAGCCGGTCAGGCTGTGGAGACCGAGAATTTGGAGCAGGCTGTGGGGGAAGCGCTTTGGGTGAGGGGAGTCAGGCTGAGAGGGCTCGATCGGGGTGAGAGTTGGGCTGCTAAGGAGGGATGGCGGCAGGTTTAATTGAATTGCTTTTCATTAAGATTACTTCTACCAGATGAAGATTTTAAATAAATATTGAATTGTGTGCGGGGCGTTGTTTGTTTGAATAGAGATTAATTCATTGTCCTAAATCAAGAGGCAACTGGACTTCTATAATCCAGGGTTCTATAATCTCATAGGATTTGAAATGGACACCTACTATTAGAACCATCATTAAAAAGACACAACGAAGAATGTTCTTGCTGTGTCGGCACAGAAACATCAGAGACTGTCCAAGAAGTTGCTGATACAAATTCTACAGAGGAATGATTAAAGCTGTCATTTGTACTTCTGGTTTTGGTACAGCAACCAAATGGGAACTGCATAGTTAGGACTGCACACCCAAGAGGCAACAGAGCTGAAGAAGCTTCTTGAATGAGAAGTGAAACGTCTTCAAAGAAAAAACAAAGTCCAGTTGCCTCTTGAAAAAGCACCTTTGGGACCACCATGGCCTGGATGACAGAATCTCGATAGACTCTTTGCCCTAAAATTCCTTTAATAAGCAGATGAATAACCTATGGCCCCAAATAAGTCTTCTACCATTCTTAAAGAATGATTGCTGAAAACAGATATCTCAGATTCTTGTATCTTTTAGGTCAGAAACACACACAAGTTGTCATATAAGTTCTAAAATAAGGATAACTATCAGAAACCGTCCTGAACATCTTTACATTTCCTCTCCCACTGATATGTACTGTGTGATGTGATCCTAAACACTTTAAACCCGAGAAATTATAAATGCAACATAAATGTTGCTGATTTTTAAATATAGAATGACAGCAAGTCATTTTATTTACTTGTGATTTCTTTTATGTGAAGCTAGGCAATTAACTATCAATTGTAAAAAAATTGAAAAGCAATATGGGAGCATAAGAAATACATAAAGATTCAAGAGGGAGATTGCTAAGTATCTTTGAAGAGATTTCACAATTAACGCAGAAATTGTTGTAGAAGTTGACACTTCTGACACTGATCTTAATTTTTTAAACTATCAGAAGAAGCCAATAGAAACTAAGCTAGACTGGTAATTAATTACTAATGTCTTTAAAAGTTATTAATAGTATTTAAAATGAAGCCTTGGAACTAAAACAGCCAATAACTGAATAGATAAAACTGTGCAGATCATTCTGTTAGGAAAAGTGGCTCTTGTGTACTGTATTTGCCATGCAAGGTTTTTTTTTCTAAAATTTTGAAATGTGTTTGTTATGTTATGCTTGGAAATCCTGATAAGAGATCTTTCCTTAGTAAGTTTATTTAGATTTTGTGATTATGATAGTAAATAATGTAAACTAGTATGCTCTGCATACTGTAAGTCAAGACTGACTTGATTGAGGTCATCTAATAAGTTCATAAAAGATGTGAGAAGGACTGATTTTCAAATCGATAATGCCTCTGCCATTATTAACTTTGTATGCAACCCCCCCTAAAATAAAACCAAATTTGAGTTCCAGAAAGCAATTTCTGACAATTGAATGCTAAAGAAGGTCTACCAGTTAGGATGTACTTTCTCTAGAGTACATGTCAGAGTTTTCCTTCTTTTATTTTTTGTGGGAAATCTTTTCTTTTAACTGGTAATAATTAATAGTGAAAACAGACAAGAGAAGTCAAAGGTTCTTTGCAATTATTCCCTTGATAGAAATTAATAGTATCTTTCTGTATATGAAGTACAATCTGAACTGGACAATTTGTTTCAGAAAGGGCAGTGGTCTTATTACATCCATTAATTTGCCTTGAGTTTTCTGTTTAGCAACAGAGGGTTTTTTTCTGGTATTTGTGAGTATATTAATAGAGTTGAATTTGGCATTCATTTCTTATGAAAATACTAGTATCTGTAATGAGATTTATTCCCCATAATTTTGTGTATTGTCATGCAAAAGTGTTTGAAGCCTTGTTGCTGAATGTTGGAATGTACTGAAGGTTGGAAACTATCTTGTAATTTATCTGTCAACATGAGGACATCATTGTGCTTGTAAATATTGTGGACGTTTTGCTGAATGGATGTGCTTTGTTAGATTGCTGTTTATCAATGTACTGTTTATCAATCTCATTCATTCTTGCTGGTCCATTTTGTGATCCAGTATTGTCATTTAAAGGTATCTTTTTAAGAATTCTGACATTATATATTCATATCTGTATATATTTTTGTTCATTTTGTACAGAACTTTGAAACAGCTGTACAAGAGAATATCACTGTTAATGGGCAGCCATGGCAGGAGTCATCAGATCTTCAAAATGGTATATTAATTTAAAAGTATCTTTAGAATTAATATGCAAGGTCTTGACTAATACTGTTGGAAAGTCTTATTCATAAGAAATTATAGGTGGTCCTCGACTTACAACAGGACATTTAGTGACCATTCAAAGTTACAACAGCACTGAAAAATGTGACTTATTGACCAGCAAAGTCAATGGGGAAGCCAGATTCACTTAACTACTGTGTTATTAATTTTCTACTGCAGTGATTCACTTAACAAATATTTCACTTAACAACAACAATGTTGGGTTCAGTTGTGGTCGAAAATTGAGGAGTACCTGTATTTTATTGTGAACAGAATTACTCAGTCCCTGTTGTAATAGAATTCCTTGCAATGTTAATCTGGTTTAAAAATATTAGGTATAGATACAGTATGGTGAGGAGACTTAACATAATAGATCATGTACTTTATATGCAAACATTTTATGTTCTTTTCCTGTCGTCTCAGATTAAAGGGTCTGCTACTGCCATCTGTTGGCTTGTTATAATTTGTGGATGACAGTTTATAATTATATAAGACACTCTACTTTAAAATGATGTGAATTAATAACAACATTTGTAGAGAAGGTGTACTATATTTCTTTTCAATTTCATTGCAATTGAATTATTGACTCTTTTTTTTAATTTGCTATTTTATTTTAAGTACCAGTGGTGAATTCTGCAGAGCCAGTTTTGTATCATGGTTAAAGTACAAGGCTAAAAACTAAGAGATAATGAATTCTAATCCTGTCTTAGACCAAAGACAGCTGGGTGACCTTGGGCCAGTCATACTCTCTTCAGCCCTAGGAAAGAAGCAGTGGCAAATCACTTTGAACTCTTGCCAAGAAAATTGTAAGCACTTGTCCAGACAGTTGCTAGGAGTAAGCACTGGCTCAAAGGCACCAAAATAAAAATTCTTATCAGACTATTAGATGGCAGCAAACCAGTACACCATTCTATATTTATTAGCTGTCTAGATTTTTACAACCCACAACTAGTATCCATACTCAAGAACAATTATGCTTATAATTTAAAACCACTTTGTGGAGCTGAGGGGTATTTGGAATTCCTGATGTGAACATATATTTTTATGAAACTGAATACTTAGGTATTTGAACTTTTGGAGGAGTCCAGATTTCAAGGTACTAAGCAAGCCTAAATAATTAGTGTCCATATGTGTTTAAATTTTAAATGCCTCATATAGAAAGATGGATGAATGGTGTTGGTTATTTTTTGAGTTTTGGATAAACTTCTTTCTCCAGAATTTTTTAAAAATAACTCATATTTAACCATTGAGGCTTTTCAAAATACTTGGTAACATAGTACCAATATAGATAATCCTTGTGTTATGCAGGTCATTTAATGACTGTTTAAAGTTACAACAACCTTGGAATGAGTGCTTTATTAGCCATAAGATGTTTTCACCTGTTGTAAAATGTCTCACCACCCCCTCCTTTAGTCAAGTGATCCCATTTCGGAGACTTTATAACTGGTTCACATTTATGACCAATTGCCAAGCACCCCAAAATATGAACACCATTTGCAATCTTCTCTGCTGGCTTCCCCAGAAAATCAATGCGGATACTGGCAGAGAGGGTTCCAAGCAGAGGGGACAGAGGGGAGTTTAAGTCTTCCACAGGCAGCAGGAACAGAGCAAGATACTGAAGATTTCAGCACCATAGCCCACCAAAGCATTCCCCCTCCCCCATGCAGTGAGAGAAGCTGAAATTTTTCAGCTGGCTGCAGGAACATTTGACAGCCAAAGGGTTGCCTACTGATGGATTTTATCTGCCAGAAGGCAGACCTTAACGACCTAGATTAATAACTGCAAGTGGAAGTGCAGTCATTGAATGAAGCAATCACATGGCATTTCACTTAATGACTACTTTGCTCAATGACTAAGATTCCATTACAAATTGTGGTCATTGAGTGAGGACTACCTATACCTGTATTTTTATTTTTACTTGGAGAAGAGTTCCAGTCAGTTTGTTGCACGTGATTCTTTGTTTCTTTTTCAGTTAAAATGATTTATGTCAAGAAACTAGTCTGTTTCCAGGCAATAATTTCTAAGCAAAATTTTATTAGACAGTTAATTCTTACAGTTTTGATGCAGTAAATCATCAGTTGGTTTGCTTTTGTGTTGGTTTCCTTTTTATGGGTTTATCATACAGTTTGTCATTTAACATAAATTCAAATTTGTTTCACAATTTTAATTTTAATAATAAATAAAAAATTTACTGTAATAAATCTTTTCCGTTCCCTTTATACTTTCATGTATACCTGGTCAAGATGATGATATATGTATCTTTTTCTATGCCAATTGAAGTTAAAAATAAATCCACATACTATACTCTTCAAATATTAAACATTTCTATTTTTGTTGTAAAATAGACACAGACATTAAACTCCTTGAAGACCAGCTTGATGAATTAATTGTGGAAGTATCTTCCAAGCGTAATCAGTATCCTAGAAAAATGCAAATAAATGTTGTTAAAGGCATTAAAATGCAACAAAAATTGTTGGTGAGTAATTTAAATTGTAAATCATTGGGTGAAAATATTTACTTTGAGAGAATCAGATAATGATTTACTTACTGCAGTAGCAGATGTCTGTGAATATCAGATTATAGTGTAGGAGCCTAGTTTAATAAGTTACTATGGTGAGGTAATGTTTTGATCCAAGGCTCTTCAAACTTGGCAAGTTTAAGACTTGTCGACTTCAACTCCCAGAACTCCTGAGCTAACATGACTGGAGGAGGAATTCTGGGAGTTTGAAGTCCACAAGTCTTAAAGCTGTCAAATTTGAAGACCCCTTTTTTTTATTTCTAAAATCTATTATAAATTATTGTGGTACAGGGAAATACATATGCCTACTTAAAGCTTTAAAAAATGTTTATTGGAGGGAGGTTCAGGATAGACACATACAGCCAGTACTTATTTTATTGCGGACATTGTTAGTTTTATATAGTCATCTCTTTTAATACAAGACTCTGGGTTCTATATGGTGTGTGTGCGTGCGTGCATGTGTGCACATATATGCATATACATGCATACATACATACATACATACATACATACTATATCAAAAAATTATTAGCCAAGGTAACCACAACCATACATAACATTAAACGCAGCCACTGCACAGACTCTAGTTCACTCTCCATGTCTTTTGGCAAAACCATGTTTTCAGACCCTTGCAAAAAGTCAGTAGATTGGGAGAGATGAGGTTCCACATGCAGGAGCCATGACAGAAAAGTTTTTCCTTCTTAGCTCTCCCAGACAATGCCAGGACCAAAGTGTGTTCCTCCTGCCATACCTGATGGAATAAGTAGTCATAGTTCGACAGAGAGGCAATCTGAGATAACCCTTGAATTATACCCAGAAGCAAACTGGCAACTAACACAACCCACAGGGAGAAGTGTAACATAGCCCGATCAAGGGGTGCAAATAAGTCTTACAAAGACACATGTTGCATCTCAATGTAGAAAGTATCACACTAATCCATACGAAAGATAACCAAGGCATGAGTGATTGTAAGCAGGACATGATTTCTATGCTAATAAAGTAGTGTGTTTTAGTGTTATGTAAGTGAAAATATTTACAAAATCAGTATGTACATAAGATGATACAATAATAAATCTTAACCAGTTAACCTCTCAAGTTTTTTTCTTTCACTATTCATTTGTACTCTATTATGGCTTTTTCTTCCCCTCCTTATCTCAATTACTGGAATGTCAGTTCTCCCAGTTTGCTAACAAACAAAGGCATTAATTCACATAGTTCCTCTGTTTTGCTACTGAATCTCCAAACACAAATCACAATATCTTTTCCTGGTCTTTCCATACTCTTTCAAGTCAGTTCAGCATTTTCTTCCTGATCTTACTTCTTGTCCCAGAACCAGAATCTCTGTACTTGGCAGGCTGTACTCCATTGAACGTTAACCAAGTGACATCCTCTATAGCAGCATGTGCTCCAATATTTGAATTGTTATTTTTTTAAAAAAATAATAATAATCTGCTTCTTATTGCTTTTTTAATAATCTGTAGGTAGGACATATACGTGCCATTGTATAGGTGCCTTCTAGCATTTTCCCCATTCTGCCTATGTGCTGTTTGTTTTGGGGCAGGTACACATTCTCGTTTTGTCTGACTGGCTTTCTGAGGACACTAAGTTGCATATTTGAGAACACTTGCTTTGCTGTTTTTTCTTAAATATATTTTTTATTTTTTTCAAACAAGATTAAAATACAAAATACAGAACTCCAATAAAAAAGGTTGTGAGTAAAAGGAAAATATCTGTAAAACATTTTCAGGAAACCAGTGAGACGGGAGAAGTGGCCATTCACTTACTTACAATCGCTGATACATTTTTTAAATAAAAGTCTGAATTTTTTAAAATAAGAAATCTACCTTATCCTAAGTCTTGCAGCAGGGGGCACTGTTTTATTAGTCATCCAAATTGATGTAAAGTTAGATAATACCTAAATTTGAATATTCAGATTAGAATATAAAATATATTGTAATAACAGCATTTAATTCATCTAGGTAGTTCTCCCTTACCAGCAGTAATTGGGAATGGGAACTCTGTCACTAAACAGTGCAATTGTAACTTATGACAGCAGTCTCAGTTGCCACTGTTAAGAGAATCCTAAATGGTCACACAGCATCCTGTAGTCATATGATTGCCATTTACAACCTCCTGCCAGCTTCCCTGTTGATTCCATTTGTCAAAAGCCAGTGGAAGTCATAAATGACAATCATGTGACTGTGGAACTTTGCAATATCATAATTGTGAGCCAGTTGCCAAGCTTGCTACCCATTATTGTGGGTACACTGCAGTGGTCACAACTACAAAGACCTGCCATAAGTGCCCCTTGTTCAGCACCATAACTTCAGAAGGTCATTAAAAGATTAGAATACAGAATAACAGGGTTGGAAGGGACTTTGAGGTCTTCTAGTCCAACCCCCTGCTTAAGCAGGAAACCCTATACAGTATATGTGATGAGACAGCAAAACCTGCTTTTGCTAAATATACAAATCAAAAAATAGTGGGTTTTACAGAGATGTATTACATATATGTACTTGGATAAGAATGTTCATTTGCTTAAGAGTCAAATGTTTTAACCATGAATTAAGTCACATTTTAGAAGTTATAATGCGAACAAAGGAAATGTTTTAAATGCATTTGTTTGTCTGTTTAGGGCTATCAACCTTTTGTGAACTGTCAAGACATAAAAGTGGAACCTTCTCAAGGTAATTTTCTGAAATGATGTGCTTCATTTCTTTTCATAGAATATGGCAATTGTATGTTTTAAACACTTCATAAGTCTCTGATCTTTTCTTGAATGGTCCTCTTTCATCACCAAAACCAAACCAGATATCTTATAACTTAGCTTATTCATATGACATAAGCTTTTGTGGACTAGACAGCATGCCAGTAGTTAAAGGAAAGAGTATTTGGCAGGTACATAAAAGTGCTGAGTAATAAGGAGAAAGAGGAAGGAAGGAAGGAAAAAAGAAAGGAAAAGGAGACAAGACATAATCTGGCAATATGTGGGAACATTTTATGCTTCTGATGTGAATTCAAGTGAAAAAAAAGCAATAACGTGCAGTCTCTAAGACAGCCTTTTCCAACCTTTTTGCCCTGGAAAAACCCTTGAAAGTTCAGGTCTCAGGGAACCCCTGCATAAGAATGGTGAAAGTACAAAACTTCATAATAAAATTCACTTTTAGCCTACACAGTTCACAATTTGCAATGTTAAAAGAACAGCAAAGTGGTGGACTGGCAACTAAGTTGGAGTGTGTAAAAAACCCCAATCACTGAGCACTAGCATGGTGTGTGCAAAGTTTAAACAGTGATGCTTATTTTTTTCAGTCATGCTTTCAAAACTCTTGACTGATAAAAAAAATACTTAAGATTAAAAAAGCTTATAATTTTGGGTCCAATGCTTTGCAGGAAAAAAACAGAATGCCATATAAAGTTTATAGTTTAAATTCTATCACCTTCCAAGCCATAGTGTTTAGACCAGTGTTGGGCAATTAATTTTCCCACATGAGAAACTGAGACAATCGGTTGAACTTAAATCTGCTCAGAATTAATTTTATTGCTTTATACAAAGAAGTAAATTATATCATTTTATTAGATGCTATTGGTAAGAACACATGTTATGATAAGGCTATGAAAATGTGGAGTAGGTACAAATATAGCAGTAAAAATAGTAAAAACACCAATCATATCACTATTTCATTTTATTTTTAGCATAACATATGAATTCACTTACTAAGGCAAATATGGCATTTTACTATCAAATTTAACTTGGCTTCAGGTAACATTTCTTCTAACTTGAAATCATTGCTATGGTAATTTATTTGCAATGAAGAATTATTGCATACAAATTTGTGCCACAAGTTCCACGTGCTGGTTGGATTATAAAGTAAAACTATTTGATCAATCACAATTAAAAGAAAATCTAAAGTGGAAATAATGTTTAGGAAAACGTGCAACTATATGGTGAAAGAACTTACTTGCACAATCTGGAATTTGCATCTATCCCTGTGGTGACTACAGTCACCAGAAACGAAAGATAGAATTATAGGCTTTCATTTCCTTATTTCATTTCCCATGTTTTGGAAGCAGTGTAAAGATCTAGTTTTAAAAATACTTAATCTGATGTACAATCCTGTAATATTATACCAGGGCAAACATATTTATAAGGATTGCTGGGATGGATTTATTGGGGTAATCTAGTTTCTTTTCAAATGAGGTTAATTGACCTTGGAAAAACCCGCAATCAGTTGTTTTGTAATCATTTTACAATACATAGTATGCTGTAACTCTTCCCATTCCTATTTTACAGATGGAATGCAGAAGTGAAGGGCAATAACTTGTCCAAGCTCAGTCAAGTTAACCATAAGTCACCCAGAAAGAATTTATTATTGTTATAATACTTTCAGTTTTCCTTGAGTTTTAGAAAGAGGACAGTTCTCAGCTCAATGAGTTTCTAATATAAAAGGTAGCAAATGTAAAGAGAGTCAATATTTTTATTTTTATATTTGAACTCCTTTTTTAATGGTGTCTCTGATTCAGTGTTGACTCCTGACAAATACCTGGACAGGTCTCTGCTGTTTTCTGTGCAATCTTTTGGGACTGGTTTACCATTTTCTTCCTCCTAGGGCTGAGAAAGAGTGGCTGGCTCATGGTCACCCAGCTGGATTACATTTACTTATGGTTGGTTATAGTAGGAAAATAGAAATCAGACTTAGGGAAGAGATTCAAAGAGCAAAGCTGGAACATTGCACAGATGCTTGGGAAAGCAAATCAGGAAACAAAAACAGTGAAGATATATGGGAAAACACCACCCTAGGATTATTAAGGCTAGCAGACAAAGAACTGCATGTTCTAGAGGCTTTTTATTATATTTGTTTCTAGCTTTAACTTTTTTCATTAGGTACATTTTAATTGTACCTGCAAAAAGCAGTACTAACATGCCACAATTTGCAAACTTTTGCTTTTGCTGATATTGGGTGGGGGGGGGGGGTTTGCTGTATGGTCACCAACAAAGTTTAAAGGGTTTAAACCAGGGGTCTCCAACCTTAGCAACT